ATTCTGTGAACAGAAGATCCTTCCATTACGGTCGGGGTGCAGCTATGCCTAAAATCGAGCAGTGTTATAACTTTCACGAATCACGCCATTCACATTTCCAACTGCTTTCATTGAAAGGCAATATGAGGCACCAGGTACTTGGTCCAACAGCAGTGGTATGAATACAAATCCAGAATATTAAGAAACTGATCACTGGTGATCATAATTTTACCGGTACGTCCAAGGCGTCCTTGGAATTACAGGACCGGAATGCCTCGATCGGAACTTTATCGACTTAACGAAGGTGGTTTTCGGTTGATCGCCGAAAAAACCATACATGTCACTCAATTGCGTACACGGTCCATCGCACATTGTTAACACGATCGCTTTGCACATCAGGTAACCTGACTTCAGAACGCAGAATGGTGTACACAGCACGACAGTTAAGTAGAAGGGACTTACAGTTCACTGCTTTTTATTTTGTGTGTGATAACCAGAATAATGATATCGGAGCAGGAGATTGAGTGTTCAGTCGAGTGGTACGAGTTTACATTCCATTAGATAAAAATTAAGTTAGCCACCTTACTCTATCTACATAAAGGTAGGTGTAATCTGATCCCCGTGAAAAAAAAAACTTGAAAGCCCTTGAGATTCTGTAAACCAATAGATATTCAAGACAAAATGAAAGGTAACGCGGCAGTTAAATTGGGTTCTAATATCATGGGAGAACGATGAATATCCACGCAGTTAAAAAGGATTTAAAGCTGAGGACTGAAAACCAACTGAACTGAATGTGAAAATGGTGCCTTCGGTGGCTAAACGACCTGGTGTCATTACATGAAGAAGGTGCGCTGTTATCTTTAAGTAACACTGTCGTCTGATCTCTAATGGTACATCAAAGAAGCAGCAGAGCCTTCCCCATTTTCTTGGGCCCATCATTCTACTGAGTATTGCGTACCATATGCTTCCTATTAATGGGGCCGATAATGCCCCAAAACTAATTTTGGTTCGCCTCAATAAATCCAGAGGAAAAGCAGAATGCACACCACGTAACCAGCCGATGACTGGATCTTCCATAGTCAAGAGAATGCTATCGTTCAAAATCCGGACAAAAATGACTTATCTACTCACAAGGTTGTTAGTAGTACAGAATGAAAGGTAAATGACGCTGCGCCTCGTTCAAGGCGCCCGTGATTTGTCGAAAGACAGTGGATACTACTGATACGGAATGGAGTAGCATGCGGTTTTCCCTTTACTCCGCCTTGATCTAACGGATGGTGGGATTTATCGCAGAATTTGTGGAACTGATTCGCAGCATTCGTTTACAATTGCGTGACGGCCAATGAATATCCAGGAAAGTTCAAGAAGACGAATATTCAGTTCTTAAAAACAAGGTCCAAAAGTCTGTAACTGTTTAGTTGATGCTTCTGATAAACAACTCCGCGTCCAAGGGCTTTCCTGTTTTAATTGGTAGACTAAAAATAACGGGTTACATGGATCTGATATGCTCCAAAAACTAGGTAATGTCCTCATGTTCTTGTATGAACCAATCCAATTGCTACATATACGGTCTGACCAATGTTGTCAAGCTTAAAAGGAGTACCTGAATTTACATTCCACGGGACCGTCACTCCAACAAGGGCCATTTTCTCTACTAAGAACTGGTCGTCGTGAGAATGGAAGTAATTTATGCTACCGCCACTTAGTTTCACCCTGGGTATGAGTAAGACAGCACGATTCAAATGCAAGTCCGTGAAAGCATTCATATTTGGGACCGCTTTGTTCCAGCCATATAGATATAGTGTTAGGCACAATTGCGTACTCAAACGACTGATTAATCTTACTGTGTTGTCCACTTGGATGGAGTTGTTTTCTAATCCAGCTAGGTCTACATCATACGGAATTTCATCATGCATCATGAACCGCTACGCGGGATCTATCCAGCATTGTGTCGACCAACAGCGGAGGTCATTTTTCGTTTTAAGCGTTAAGTTTTCGCTGCGCAAAGGTTAGTCAATCGAGACTTGTCCATGCGACAAACCAGTTGGTAATCGGATACCTGCTGATTACAATACATAATCTTGTAAACCATTATCTGTGCCGGGTTCTCAAGGCTGTCTCGTGAGTGAATTATCCAGACTTTAATTCATTTGCTTCTTTCCCTTGTAGAATGGGTTACCCCAGATTGCGACAGCACTTGCACGGCCAGGTGCCTTGGTTCATTTGCAGCATCACACATTCCTAAGCCGTGAACTAGTATAGTATACATCTAGCTCATATATGTTTCCAATGAACGGGCGGCTCGACCTCCGAATGAATCACTCGCTGTTTTTGAACACGGCGCGGCAAGCTGCCGGGACAGTGGTCACATCACGAATTTAGTTGACAAACACCAAGGGCGATCAATTCGAAGTCCGCGTAAATCCGTTTAGTTCGTCTCAACTCATACGAAAAATAAGGGAGCTTAAGGCACTAAGGCATCACTTTAGGTCCCAGACAAGGCGGAACAAGTAGTGAACTGTTGGTGAGTTTCCAGTGACCATGTAAGTAGTATCGCTTACGAAAGATACACAAGAATGCCTTGGCCGACCTCGTCGTTTTAGGGAGTATGAGAATCGATGCATCCAGTCTAGTCTGGTAGATTGTATGCATGAACTTTGAAAAAGTGCATGGTGAGAAGACCAATACACCGCGAGTTCAAGTATCGCAACCTTACCATTTTAACCAAAAAAAAACGCGATACTGTTTGTCTGCTCTGAACAACATCGGGAAGTGAAATGTCTCACAACAGTTCAGGAGCACCAAGATCATACTACTTATCGAAGGGAAGCCGACAGATGTTTGTGGAAAAATCAGCATTATCAACACTACAGGCAACATCCTGTTTGACTGATCAAACGCTAATATTCTGGAAAACGCAATTGAGGCACAATGTGGATTCCGAAGCCGACCAGCACATTCATCCGATGTTTGCAGCACGTCACTCAAGGACGGAACATACACTTATACGCCCCTTTCGTCTAGTCACTAAATGCTTTTGACTCAGTACATACGGATTCAACTATCTCAAAAAAATGCAAAATTATCAAATCATTTTGGTAAGGGGGCCCGAGTACTTAATTACGGAGCCACATTTGCCGAGTTCGAGTTTTGCGCCGTTATGAATCAAGATTGCGTTCTGACTCTCAGTTCAATCTCTTTCTGAGTGCAATCTGACTACGAGATTCCAACTACAGTATAAATAAAGGCGCCTCTTGAACACGCATTTTATTAGGCTAACCACGGTCCACAATAGTAGACGCTCTGAATTCCAATCAATGGGTACGGCATAATGTAACGTATAGGTTTCTGCTACCTCGGCAGTACCCTGTCTATAGACCTGACAACCTATACTGAGACGCCAATAGTGTTAAGGCTGATCGCACAAAGATTTATGCATGCATACAAGTAGCACTGTAGGGGATTACTGTACTTTCCTCCCCGTCGTGTGGCCGTGTAACAGGGATGCACTGCGTGGGCACACCCGAACGCTTGAAAGATCGTACGTACAATGCGATCTTTCGGACGAAGTAATCAAACAAAACCCGGAACACCGAAATCCTCCAACCATCCAATATCGACAAAATTAAGTGCACACCGATACACAATTAGTACCACTGACTAGGGCAAGTAGAATGAGAGATCAATAAAAGCCTCCAAAAACAACTAATCTAAGGTGGAGGAGCTCGAAGGCGGCCGAAATTGAGGCGGATGTCATGCCATTGCTTGAAGTCAGGCGGGTAATTCGAAACTGTGACTCTGTACCATCACAGTCGAAACGACCTGTGCATAGGCCAAGGTAGAATGGAGCTCGCGGGTTACAACCTTACTTAGTCTAGGCCATCATGGAGGCACCAATGAGTTGTCTAAGGTAATTCTCCTCCTATTCGCGACCAATACCCTCGACTTCACTGTCATATTACGAGAAGGAAGTTGAAAAACCTCTGCGACAACTGGTTTACCGTCTGACTATTCACTCCAGTTTTGTGCATCCTTCAGAAAGCATGACTGCGGTAGTTCATTTGCTCTATTCCACTGAAAATTGACGGACTCGACGGATGGGACCGGAGCCTTGACGTGAAAGAATTAATGTCGGTATTGTTTGTTAGGTCATTATGGTTAAACCGGTCGGTGGCTCTCCACAGGCCTGTGTTTTCCCACAAATGTCATTTGCCTGTGATGAGATTAATCGGTGCTCTCCTCTTAATCACAACTATTTAAGGTGCATCCAGAGCGGCATAACTTAACGAACTCCCACGTCTCAGAGTGCATCGAGTAGTCCGAGTAAAAAAGAGCTATTCCTCCGATTTTTGGGAAGTGGAAAGGCCCTTGACTATACACGATTCGGAATAAATGGAACATCCAACCATAGATGCTTACTTTTGTCAAAACTGGGGTAACGTTGCGAAGAGTTTTAAGAATTGCACCATAATACGAGTTGCTACCTAGTGTCACCGGGACTAAATAGATGTACTTGATCATCGATTATCAGTTAACATTCACACTAATGAACCCGGTGACAGAAGCCAGCCAAACACTCCGATACGATGCTTATGGGTTTAGGCAGCACCTCCATGATCTTGCTGTGATCCATATCACGCAATGACTAGTCATCTGATCTACGACAACAACGTCCGACTCACCAGCTGCCTAACAAAGCGCGCACCTGAGGATCATTTATTTCACCAAGTAAAATGAGTGGTGAGTTCTGCAGCTTACCTTACTTTAACGAAATGGTATGCAAACGAGGAAAAAGCAAACTGATCGACCACATTTTGATTCTTCTCTTCGAAATCTTGACCGAACTGGGGACAAAAATCATAAGTTTACATTTATCAGTAATAATGCATCTGTGGGTATGGAATGGGGATATATGCAATGGACAGGTGTTTACGGGGTGTAGTGTGATAATATCCTTAGTGGAGCTTGGTAGCATGGGGGAACTGTTTATAGCTTTGCAAAAAAGATATGACAAAAACCAATCAGTCGCTCTCATCGTCTGTCAGAATTTCTTCCTTTGGGATTTTTCGGTACGATCGTTCCCCGTAACTCGAACGACTTGGTCTAAAGGGTGAGTTACTATACTCCGTGTTTCGAACAAACCCAGGTCCCTTGTAAAGCGAAGTTCTTCGACTGTCGGATGGAAAACCAGCAGATCTCGGCGTTTGAGGTTTCGCTGTCACATACGGTGAATGGTACTGGAAGGGAGACGAAGAAGCCCAGGGAGAACCGGGAGAACTTCTAACAACTTCTGGATATCCATTGATAGCACGTTTCTTCCGGGGAGACGGCTTCCACACGATTTGTTGAACCCATTCCACGAGTTCCACGAACAAAACGACAGCCATTACGATGATCACTCTCGCTAGTTTTGGTGAGGTGTACCCAAGAATACGGGTTACGGGAGATTCAGAAGCTACTTCATTCGATACGTATGAAGAAGCATAATACGCGAGTCCAGTTAACAGCTCATGTTCTGTAAAGGGCAGATAAATGGCAGATGTGATGACGAGCGCACCAACGATGCGCAATACGTACTTCATAATGACCTTCGTTCGAGGATATTTGAATACCAGTGTTTCGGGTAGATGAAACCAGTAGAAAAAGACGAACGACAAACAACCGACAATCGCCACATAACAAAAAGTGATTTCTGCATTGGAAGCAAGAATCTGCCAAACAGAGGAACGAATATAGTCCAAAAGCATGAAAACCACACCAAACGTACCACCTAGAAGAACAAAAACACTCTGCAAAACAGCGCCACCGCGTTTCATGGGCAACATCCGGATAAGTATAATAAGCAGCACGAGAAGGCTACTCAAGACGACAAATCCTACGCCGGAGGCATAGTAGAAACTTATCTTTTCAGATAAGTAGTTAGCAGACAGCAATAACAATAAGCCAAGAACAGCAAGAAGAAAATGCAACTCATTCACGCGCAATTCGACTTTAGCTGTTAAAACCGGTCGTTGAGTAGGACCAGCCGGAGTGGATGGATCGCACACGGCGAAACAAGATGAGGGGAAGGTGGGTGACATCCACCGAAGGGTCGATGAGCTGTTTAAGGTTTTGGTGTCATCAGGTAGGACAGAAAAGAGAAAGGAAAAAATAGAAGACGATTCTGAACCGCGTCCCACATCACTCAACGAGGCACAAGAGAGACCAGTTTTTGGTAGTTGATCTGCATGTATGGTTTGGAATACATTTACCGAGGAGTGGTGGGCCTGAGGTAAGTCCCAGGATTCTTGGCCGTTCGGATTACGGAGATCAAGAGAAATGTCATGGTCACTTAAACAGTGAGAGATCCAATTATCTATTTTTGGTTCGGAAAAACAAAACAAGTAGACGGTATGGTGCATAATATTGACTTCAAGTTCCGTGGAAGGCTGAACCCAGTGTTGGTCCAGACGCCAAACAACGGATTCTGAAGAACACAGGAGAATTTCGAGTGTTAGCAGCAGGACCGGGAGGTGCATGTTAGAGTAGAACACGAAGTGTCGCTTTGAAAATCAGAATGTATGCTGAAAGAGAAGGCAAAAAGTGTGGTTAGTCCAATATACAGATATTTACTGTGAATTAATCACACTAGCCCTCCCCATTAGAAAAGTTTCCTCAAGAAGGCCATTTTGATAATATTGAAGGTGTTTCAATTGCACCACCCCTTTTAGAGGAACCAACCTGGCGCCATCACACCACAGCTGCGGGCTGATTGTCAATTCGACAGACTGATATCATCAGTCTGGCACTGACCAGTCATTGTGTACTGATGACACGCTATCTCGCCACGTCAGCTGCTCTTCTGAACTGGATCCGCCTATTCCGAAGGTAGTTACGCAGCGTCCGAATGCATCAGTCTGTCCGTGCATCGGTGCCTCAAGAAACCGCTCAAACCGTTTCGAACACCGTTCGAAATACCCCACACGATCAGCTCTCGGGAACCTCAGCTAAAAAGACCTGGCTCCTCGTTTGAAGCTGGTCGGCGCCCCAACCGGGTTGACAAGATATTAGTTGTCTGTCTAGCAGAGATGGCTAGATCCTAATTCCATCAACGGACAATGAAGTCTAGTAGATCCAAATAACGGGATATCACGTCGATTGGACGTATGAGCTGCCAGCCGGCTACGGACAGAGTGAAGGCCTGCTCTAAGTGGTCATATAATCAACCAAACAGAACTGGCTGTGATTCTCCTTGGAACACGAAGATTCACGCTCGATGCCGTAGACAATCATTAGCATCATCGACAGCATGCTATCAGTGTTCAACACCGACGCTCCACTGCCGTAAAACCATGATTTATTTGGAAACCTTATTGTGGAGAAAAGAATAAGCGCGGACAAGGAAGGGACTAAGGGCTGGCTTCCTACAATCATTCCTAGGTGCCTACACCTCCAAACATTCACTCAGGCAGTGAGGATATCGCGGTCCTCATCCTACAAGGCGAGTAGCACCGACAGCACCCAGGCGTTCCGTAATCTCCTTCATAAGCCTATCCAGAGTCAAGGGTTGACCACCTCTCTGCTTACGCCACTATGAGTTGGGCATAGAAGACAGCACTCTCTTTGGCATACGCAAAACATATCCCAACCAACGCAGCTTCTGGTGCTGGACACATTCTTCAATGGGAGTTCCTGTCGAACAACCGACCACTCGCTTTCTAACTGCCTCGTTACGGGTACGCCGACACCAACCCACACCAACTATGGTTATGAGACGATTGTCAAGCAACTGAAGATATCTCAGTTCCGCTGCTCCAACCGGCCAAGTCCCAGTCATACAACAAAACATTCCGCACTGTAGCCTGATACACACGACATTTGAGATTCAGGGATACACCACTCTGACGCTATAGGTGTCTCAAATGAGCAAACGAACTCGGGCCTTGCAGACTCGTGCATTCACCTCATCGATCACGCTGCAATCGGAATTAATACAAGTTCCAAGGTACGTAAAACGCTCACAACTTCGAGTGCATCGGCCTGGATCTTAAGTAGCATGTTGAGAGACTCCATGTCCACGAGCATGGAGTAGTGGGTGAAAAGTGCATGCCAAAGGACGGAACGGCTTTGGTCAGTTAATCCAAAATACCTGAGCCTTTTCTCCCTCTTCAAAGACGAGAACCATCTCGTTTGCGTACTCCAGATCGAAAAGGTTTTCTTCACAGACTATTTGAACACCGGAGTTTCGGAGAGGCCCAGAAAGCCGGGAACGCCCGAAAATTATTTCAGTTGATCCGTGCGATCGGTCCCCGGAAACTACCCGTGAGCGAAACAATCAAGGATCAGAATGGAGCGATCATCTTAAGGTAAGAAAAATGCCTCCACCGTTGGACCGAGTACTTTGAACAACAGTTATTGTGGCCACCAGCTGCCACTCATCTGGAGATTCCAGTTGAGGTAGAACCCTGGACAGTGAACGTGGAGCTTCCTGCGACATCGAAGGTTTATGACTGCATATGTTGTCTCAAGCGCCACCAAGCTCCTGATTTAGATTGTTCAAAGATGGGTGTGAAGTCCTCAGTGAGCGCTTGTCTGATTTATTTGCGTGCATATGAGAAAAGGGAGACTGTTTCAGACATCTGGGAAGAGTCAGTAATCATGCCCGTTTTCCAAAAAGAGGCTTCTGATGATGGTAGTAACCACAGGGGGAGCAGCTCGACCCCGGTCGTCACTTGTGCTTCGTCGCCCTGTGATGGCTCGTTAAACACTGACTCGAGAACAGCAAGCAGGATTTCAGTCTGGTAGGGGTTGCGTTGACCAAATCTTCGCACTCCGTCAGGTGCTAGAACAACGCCATACGTACAAACGGCCTACAATTTTACTATTCCTGGATTCCCAAGGCGCATTCGACTCACTTGATTAATCTGTTCTTTTCAACACACACTCCTAGCAAGGAATCCCATTGCTCGGTGAATTAGGACGATGCCGACCCCCACGCATTCCGCTGCAGCAGCCTCTGGATCACCAGAGGTGTGCATCCGGAAGCGGATGGAGAGTGATTGGGAGGTTAGCTAAACCACTGTGCTTGCATCCCGAATTCTCGTTGATCAGTACAGATCAATACTGAGGGATTTCAGTGTGAGAGCAAGAGCAGTTTGTCCTGCTTGCTTCAGAGCGCACCGAGGCTTGAAGATTGATTTCGAGATGCTTGAGGATGTCGGGGCCAGATGACGCGCCGACGTTGCTTGCTAAGCCGATGCAGGACGAACGGAGTCACCAATCCTAGCTGCTGGGCCCCCAGGAAGAGTTATCAACAGGGTGGGGGGAGAGGGAAGGGAAAGTGTTTGAAGGAAAAGGGAGGCGTCAGCAATGGCCTGTTTTCGCTTACCTGCCCTGCTGTATGGAGCAAGTAAGGCGACCCGGCACCACGCGGCGGCCGATGTGGCATGAAAGTACGCTAGTCGTGAATATCATGGTTGTACGAGGGCTGCAATAATGCCAGCGCGCCCACACCTAGACAGGAGAACGATTAGGGTCCTCAACCAAAGCTTTTGGCTCAAAAGCCTAACCGCAAGACAGCCGTTTTGCGGGAGATGCAAATGCATTACCATTTCTACGGAACAAGTCGCCACATGTTCCAACCCCCAACCGGAGGGCCAGGAGACTGTGTTCGTCAGACTTCTAACCACAGACCAACCTGGTATGAGAGACTGGATGTCACGGGGGCACTCCCCAGTATAGCTCAATGGATCGCTGGAGTGCCCAAATTGTCCCACCACGGTAAGGTCCAGTCTCTTCGTGACGGCCCAATCGAGAACGGCATGTGGGATTACGGCTTGGTAGAGGTTGCGTTGACCAAATCTTCGCACTCCGTCAGGTGCTAGAACAACGCCATACGTACAAACGGCCTACAATTTTACTATTCCTGGATTCCCAAGGCGCATTCGACTCACTTGATTAATCTGTTCTTTTCAACACACACTCCTAGCAAGGAATCCCATTGCTCGGTGAATTAGGACGATGCCGACCCCCACGCATTCCGCTGCAGCAGCCTCTGGATCACCAGAGGTGTGCATCCGGAAGCGGATGGAGAGTGATTGGGAGGTTAGCTAAACCACTGTGCTTGCATCCCGAATTCTCGTTGATCAGTACAGATCAATACTGAGGGATTTCAGTGTGAGAGCAAGAGCAGTTTGTCCTGCTTGCTTCAGAGCGCACCGAGGCTTGAAGATTGATTTCGAGATGCTTGAGGATGTCGGGGCCAGATGACGCGCCGACGTTGCTTGCAAAGCCGATGCAGGACGAACGGAGTCATCAATCCTAGCTGCTGGGCCCCCAGGAAGAGTTATCAACAGGGTGGGGGGAGAGGGAAGGGAAAGTGTTTGAAGGAAAAGGGAGGCGTCAGCAATGGCCTGTTTTCGCTTACCTGCCCTGCTGTATGGAGCAAGTAAGGCGACCCGGCACCACGCGGCGGCCGATGTGGTATTATTAGTTGTAAGTGTCATGGTTGTACGTGGGCTGGGATACTGTCAGGTCGCCCACACCTAGACAGGAAGACGATTAGGGTCCTCAACCAAAGCCATTGGCTTACAAGCCTAACTGCAAGGCAGCGGTTTTTGGCGGGAAATGCAAATGCCTTACCATTTCTACGGAACATATTCCACATGTTGCGACCCCCGACGTGGAGGAACACGGAACTGTGTTTGTCAGACCTCTAACCATTGACCAACCTGGTATGCGAGACTCTGAGTGTCGCGGGAACACCCCCTAGTATAGCTCAATCGGTCGCAGAGGGGCGCAAAACATCAATCCAAATGGTTCAGCTGTAGCGCACTTTCAGTGCCTAACTGCCATGCCACCAGAAGGAAACACGAGGGCTGGGATATTGCCAGGCTTGGGCAGCCTGGCAGCCTGGTCACTCCACGGTAAGGTCCAGTATCTTCATGAAGGTTATCTCTAAAAAAGAGCACTTAAATCACTGGGTGAGCACTTTCAACAACAATTCAACTGACCATCTGGAGTTGCTGAGCCGGATCCAAAGCCATAATGTAACCCTTGGCAGTGAACTTTCAAATTTCCAAGGCTTAGAAAATAAGCGAATACCTTCCCCCCTCAGCTGTTGCTGATCCAGACGAACATCCGCCCATCCTGTTCAAAACTGGATGTGAACTAATAATTTGCCTCGTAACCAACTGGAGTGAGTCAATGGTGGTGCCCATTTTCAAAGAGGATGTTCGCAGCGAATGTGGCAATCAGTGGAATCAGCTTGAGACCTATTATAATCAAACTTCACTTATTTTACGCCACTTCACGAAGGCACGTGAAGACGGGACACAAAAACAGCAAGCAGAACTTCGGGAAGGGACTGTGTGGTCTACACATTCACACTCCATCAAACGTTAGAGATATGGCATGCATGTACGGGTTTTGTGCAGTTGACTTGGGTTGATTTCAAGAGTGTATCAAATTCAGTCGACCGCTTAGTTCTCAACACGCTTGCGAAACAGGATATGCCTCAGAAGTTCGTGAATGTCATTCGTTGTGTTTATTCACATACTTGTGGGCGCGGGTGTAAAAAGCTCTCCAAAAGCTTTCCTACAAGCAGTGGTGTCCGACAAGAATGTCCACTCTATCAAGCTTTGTTTAGTTTCGTCGATGATGAAGTGGTAGGCGAACACTGAAAGGTCTCCAAACCCAAGGGCCAAAACCTTGTCGACATGGAATACGCAGACATTGTTCTCTTTTTCGGAAAACAGCAGGAAGCGCAAGCATCACTTGGGAAAATTACCAAAGTCATACCATTCTTCGTCAGGTGCTTCGCGCCCACAAGATGCGAAGTCATGCTGCAGGATGTGCGGTTTTCAAAAATGCCTCTAAAAACCCAAGGTATGACATTGGAAGTTGTGGGATGTTATACATATCTTGAAGGTTGCAATGGCACTGACTTTAGTGTGACAGACGAACTCTACGCAAGAATCTCAAACGCCATAACTTCGTTCGCCAGTTTGCGCCAGTTGTGGTGTCAAAAGGATATATCATCTAGTCTCTGAGAACGCGCGTATCAGACTACAGCTGTAGTACCCTTTCGGTGCTTAGCTGCCATGCCACCCGAAAGAAGCACGAGGACTGGGATACTGCCAGGTTGCCCAAACCTAGACAGGGGAAGTCGAGAAGTAGAGGTGGGGTTCGAACCATGGACCTTCCGGTCAGTAAATTCACGCTCTAACCACTTGGGCCATCTCGCCCCTGCTACAACTGATTGATTATTTGTTTTCAATTGAGATTTATTATTGTTTATTTGTCCGCTACCCAGTTGAGGGAACAAGTCGACGGCCATTTATTCACTTATCGCTAGTGTTCTCAGGGCCAGATACAGGATTTCTGTAACTGAGAAAAAGAAAACAGGACCTCACAATTTGGACTATGCTCTTGTG